TATTCATGATATCGCTTTAGCCAATCATCATTTATTCAAAAAAAAAATTCGTAGAATCTCTCGGTCCTCTCAATGTTCTATAAATGAAATAAGCGTCAACGGTTGACGGTCAACCAGTTTACTCGTGACTGTGTGTAGAATTGTATGTGATTGTGATATCAATTTGATTGTTGAACAAAGAACAAAAGGTCATATGCCATATTTGATATTAAATATGCGTTACAAAAGTGTTTTGTACTTAGAATGTAGTTTTTTGGGGGAATTTTATCCAAACGTTATCGTCGCATTTTGCGAAAGTAAAATTAAATTCGCTGAATTTTAGCGGTGAACCTCTCATTCAAACTCTTATCGTCTCAATCCACTCAAATTTAATTATTTATTTATTTTTATACAAAGCCATATGTTAAATAATGTTGATTGTATAACTTCTGCCAAAAATATTATATTAACTTAATTAAGTTCTCGATTTTTTCACCTCGGATCGATTGGAATAAAATATGCAAAATATATACTTAAAACTCATGAGAGATAGAGAAAATAGGAATAAAACTGAAAAGATACCGATTGAGCTTGGTTCAGTTTCAATAATAAATAAATATCGCGGTTTTATTATCATTTTTTCTTTCCTAATATCGAATTCATAAAATTGAAATGAAGGCATTCAAAGACTAATTCTTTGAACATGTTTTGGTATTTGTTTATTGATATTTTTTCAAAATAAGATATCTATTGAAAAGTTGTTATATTCCATTAGAACTTCTTTGTCATATATTTGTAACGGTAAACAATTTCTTGGATATTATTGGGTTTAAACTGATTGAAATATTGTTCGATTTTAAAAGCTTCTTCAATAGTTCCGGCATTGTCCATGTTAACTTCAAGTGTGTTGAATTTGACACCAAAATCATTTATGATCTGCTCAAACATATTTAAGTCATTCAAATTATAGACGTTTTTATTTTTTTTATCTGGCACCAAATTGTTGCCACCGAATCCAAATTTGACGACTTTTCCTTGTAGTTTTTCTGAAAAAGAGGTCCAAAATGAACTCATTCAGAATGATAAATTGAGCGCACATTACCTGAAATAAACACTCCGCCCAGTTTTCTAAATCCTTCTGTTGGTCTCAATAAGCCCGCAGTGTAAATAGCGTATACATTTGACCTTTGAAGCGCTTTTATATCTGTGTCAGATACATCGACCTTTGCTTGCCTGTTCAACAGAATGAGATTTAGGTGATTATTTGTGTTTGCACAATAAACGAGTTTAATATGGCAAATAATTTGAAAAAAAAAACTCATTTTGGAGCCTTACTGGTTAGGTGCCCCATTAGTTTGATGCGACAAAAGAAGCTAATGATGAAAAGAGAGTAAAATATAGTAAGTAAATAAGTTGGATTAAAATTCCGCTTCATTTTATCATATATCAGTAAAAGCTTAGCTTTTAATGAATCCAAAATTTAAAAACTCCTGATACAATTTAAAGCACTTACAATTAAAGCGATTAAAGCAATTCCTGCAACAGCCTTCATTTTGAGTTTGAAATTCACTGTGAAAATATTCTCTTTTGAAACGACTTTTATAGGACAACAATTGACGCATATTAAATATTGAATTTAGGTTTATTAACTTAATAACGTAGCAAATACCAAATTGTTGCTTGTCATGTTTTTCATAATATCTTCCAAATTCAATTATTCTAAACATTCTGGAAATATGTCCAAATAGTACTAATAAAAATACCTTGTTTTCGATCATTTATCATTTTATTTTGTCAAATGGTTTTAGATACGACGTAAAAAGCGAAATTATTGTCACTTGAAAATATTTCTCTTCTCATCCAAATTGACGGCCTAAAAAGAATAATTAAATTCTTATTTTTCCTATGTTACTTGTTTCTAATTTATTATTGATCTAAAAATTAAGCATTCCGAAAGAGATACATCAATACAATTTATAGGTTGGACCCATAACTTTTAAGTTAATCAACAATTTTTAGGGTCAAATATTTGTAATAATCATAGATGATGACGGAAATTTTTTTAGGGAGGGGGCGATGGCAAAATTCCGTAGGGGGTCCCTGGAAAAATCCATGGGCGATGCCATCGTCCCTGACGATGTCAACAATTTGTAGGATAAAATGTCAACGTTTTTTGCTCTTCACTTTTTTGGCGAAAATCTCCAACAAATCGAAAGAATTTTCTCGGCCAAAAAAATGTGAAGAGCAAAAAAAAGGTCCTCATTTCTTAGGGTTCTTAAAAATATTTTGGAGGGGATAATCCGAACCCTAGGAACCCTCGTCATCACCTATCGTAATAATAATCTACAAATTAAATATGTGTTTTCGATAATATTTTTCTCTCTTTAAATTTCGCATTCATAGCAATGATGATGAAATATAGGTATTCAAATACAAATTAAGAATGTATGTGTTTTTTCTTCATTTATTCTGTCAAATACGAGAAAAAAAAACATCTTTATTTTTGAACAAAGAGTTTTCAACTGAAGCGCTCCTCCTCCTGGTGGTTCTTCTTAAGGAGATGTTAGAAATGGTAAATAATTTCTTTAACATGGCTGGATTTAAATTGATTGAAATATTCTTCCACTTCACTCGGCTTGTCGAAAATGTCCATGTTAACTTCAAGGGTGTGGAAAGTGACAGCAAAATCATTTATAATCTGCTCAAATATCTAATAAAGAATAATTAGTTTGATAATTCAGATTGATAAAATAAACTCTATATTTACTTCTATGTCATTCAAATTATAGACATTTTTATTTTTTTTATCTGGCACCAAATCGTCACCACCAAATCCAAATTTGAGCACTTTTCCATTTAGTTTCTCTGGAAAAAATAGATCCGGATTGATGGGAAAATTAAAGAGACGCATTCAGAGAGGAAAATTGAGTGCACATTACCTGTAATAAAAACTCCAGCCATTTTTTTAAATCCTTTTGTTTGTCGCAATAAACCCGCAGCGTAAATAGCTAGGGGGATTCCGCGCGTATTTATGTACCAAAATTTAACTTTATTCTTAAAATCTCATAAAAATTTTAATATCCGACCATATCTGACAATATCTGTAAGTATTCAATCATATCCTAGTTTCTGGAAGTGGGCTTTGATGGATCCTCAGGATCATGAGAATGCTCCTAGTTCTGGAAGTGGACCCTCAGGATGGGCCAGGGCATTGTCAAACCATAGTCCGGTCCATCCTGAGGACCCACCAAAACCCACTTCCAGAACTGGGAGCGGTCCAATGATCCTGAGGATCCACCAAAGCCCACTTCCAGAACAATTATTAGATCACAATATCTCACAATATCTCACATATTTGTTAAAAATTGACATTTTGTACTTATATCTATTCAAATGCGCTAAAAAAGTTAAAATCTCTTCTTTATCTGCAATATTCAAAAGCGCGGTTTCCCCCTAGGTAAATAGCGAATACACTTGAATTTTCAAACGTTCTGATATTCGTATCGGATACACTGGCCTTTGCCTCCCTGCTCAACAGAATAAGATTTTACTTACAAGTGTTTACATAGTATGGCAAATAAATTGAAGAAAAAACTATTATTGAAGACTTACTGGGGTGTAGGTCCTCCATTGGTTTTAACCCCATTGGTTTGATGAGACAAAAGAACCTATTGATTAAAAAAAGTTTGATCAAAATTCCGTCATATCATATAACAAATTAATTGAAGCAGTAAACGTGTAAAAAAATTATTTTTAATGAATTATAGTGTCTAAACTTCTGATATAATTTGAAGCACTTACAATTGAAGCGATTAAAACAATTCCTGTAACAGCCTTCATTTTAAGTTCGAAATTCACTGTGAAAATATTCTCTTTCGTTACGGTTTTTATATTGAAACAACAAACGAATTTAAACACGTGGAAACAAGAATTCTAATAGTTAATATTTTACTTTTCCACACACACTTAGTGTGTACGTAAGGGGAAAGTATTGCAATGGGTCAAAATTTACGAAACCTCAAAAACATGTTTTCTGGACGTTTCTGAGGTCAGAGAACCCGAATCAGGCCGTTTTGAGCATGGTTGTTGTGGGTCGCTTCCACGTCGTACGTCGTACGTTGTCCGCCGTACGCAAAATTTGTCCATCGATTATTTATCTCACCCCCCAGAAAAGTTATTTAAAATCTGACTTCACGGGATGATTGGGGGTCGCGAGGAATAGAAATCATTAGATTTTCAGCGACTTTGGTTGATGGAAAAAAAATTATGCCTGGAGTGATACCTATGAAAAAGAGTCCAATTTTCGTCCAAAAGTCATACTTAATGTAGACTTAAACACTCAAAAAAATGTATTGGGGGGTTTTTTGGCACGAGAAAATCGAATCCGAGGTTAGTTCTGAGATACAATCAATTTTTGATATAGTTTCCTTGAAAAAATCACAAAAAAATTGAATTTTTGTATGGGAGCCATGCCTGTATGCTACCTTAATGACGTGAAACTTTGCACAGACTATTTTTCACACAAAAAAAAACATTATGAAAGTTTGAAGAGATTTTAATCAAAATTAGGGGTACCTCCCATACAAAATTTTCTCCAATTTCTCCAAACCCTCCGAATGTTATTTTTTTGTGAAAAAAATAACCTGTGCAAAGTTCCAAATCCTCCCATACAAAAATCCAAATTTTTTGTGACTTTAGTTATGAAAAGTGTTTCAAATGTCGTACAAATGTGTTCATCATGAAAGTGTGAAAAATCTTTTCTCGGGTACTTCTGCTATTAAATTAAAGAATATTTCGTTGAAGCATATTTGCCAAAGTTGAAACATATTTTTTGGTCTCGAACTTTACGCCTCTTGAAATGCTTGAAAAATCGAAAAAATATTATTTTGAACTTTCTTAATAAAATACGCAACTACCACCGTGCGGAAAAGTTCGTCTTACTTCCGTAAGACTCTTTATTT